TTAAAACCAAGTACCGATTTAATTCGGGGGTTTTGACAAAAATGCGTCCGACTTCAGGGACACTTGAAATATAGTTTTGTGACATTATCATTGAAATTGGAACGTCATCTAGCTCGTGTTAGTTTAATTATCCATATTTTCTAAGAACATGAAGTTAATATGAGATTTCTGGCATATAAGCAAGATCACATTCGTGCGATTAACCTGGAAAGTTTATTCCTTGAAGAAGAATCACTCGCACAAAAACATTAACCAAAACCAAAAGTAAGAAACTTGAGGAAGAAAACCCATCCTGATATTGGGTTTAACTTTTTGACCAATACATAACCCACAATGCTAATCAAATCCATGAAAGCAAGAAACCCAAGATTGAAGATGAGAAAAACAAAAAAATAGAGTCTAGCACTTGGGATACGGACAATGACAATCAATGGCGATCTTTTTGGCGTTTGGTGAGTTAAGAAAAGATTTGAAATTAGGGTTCCTCAAGTACTGGCAGACACAATGCTGCTGCTCATGCACCTTGGCGCAACACAAATCCGACGGCTCAGACCCTTTCGTAATGGTGTCCAGACATGGGCTCAGCTGCATCGGATCGCATGGCTCTACTGCATCGACACGGTTTTCTTGAGCAACAATGATAAAGAAAAGGATTGTACAAGTGAACAACACTGGTTTTGTGTAAGAACCCATCATTGTCTCTATAAGTTGGAAGTTTTTAGAGAGAATAGAGGGAGAAGAAGATTTCTGGTTTGGTGTTTGAAGTGGGTTTCCCTCTCTCTATATATATAAGGAAAAGGAAATGGCTTTGTGTTAGTCACGTTACTCTAATGAGACTTCGCGGTATACAGGAGATCTCGAGATGTATAATAATACTCTCTGCCTAAGCTCAAAGAGATTTATCAATTTAAAAAAAAAATGCTCAGACAAAGCATGTAAAGACTAAAGACCATATGAGAGAGAGTTATGAAACCATGTGCATCCAACATAGACAGTCAGGCAACTTTCGGCTAAATCCAGTGAAGGTATATAAAATTGTTGGACAATTAAACAAATGAAAAAAGCACCTTCATCATTAGATTTGAATTCATTAGAGTAGTATTATAGAAGGTATTACTATCGCCGAGAAACCACAAAACATGATGCTAATTTCTAGTTATATTCAAAAGTCAGAACTTACAGCCAACCTTGCACCAAAAAGCTGTTCTCTTTCCATTCACTATGCAATCACTTCTTTTCAAAATCTTCAATACCGCGATCTACTGTAAGTCTGAAACCAAAGACCAACCAAAAAATGCATTGTCTCAGTGATTTACCAATAGATTGGACCATGAGAAAGATTCGATGAAAAAAGATATTAGATTAGAAGGAGGCAATGGTATAATCCATATTCTGCGTGTGGTATTAGCCACCAAGATTTGGCATACTGTGCACAGACGGATCAAAATCAATATAACCCAACAATCTTATGTCTAACTCCAGATTAATTTTACGTAGGAAGCTGAATAAAGTTGGTCAGGATGATACAGAGAAAGATCTCTAGGCCAACATAGAAGTCTGAGAAATGAGATTAAGCCAGAAATCACTTGCTTAAAGATCAAATAGTCTTTAACAAGACACAAAACAGTCTTAGAAAATCTCCAATGTATTAGATGATATGTAGATCCCTTTTAATCCAGTTATACAAGTAAAGAATGGAAGAGAATTGCTGTCTATGTAAGTCCGAAAACTTACCAAATTAATCACTTTCAGAGTCAGAATCAGAGGAGTGGTCAGAATTCGGGCCATCAATCTCGATATCGGAATCAGACGAATCACCATCGCTCGTGTCATCATCACTTTCGATATCTGAATCAGACGAATCACCATCGCTCGTGCCATCATCACTTTGGATATCTGAATCGGACGAACCACCATGGCCATCATTCTCGTTACCTGAGTCAATGTCATCGACCTTCTTATGTGCATCGTTAATCGGATACTTTCGCACCTCCTCCATCACCTCGTCGTCACTTTGATCGTGCTTACCCGATAACTTCCTAATCATCATTGCCTCGAATAAGTTAGGCAATGCATCCTCATCTCCATCATCCAAAAAGCTTTGTATTCTTTTTTTCAGCTCTGAAAAAAAACCAAACGAAAGGAAATAGCTTTGAGAAATTACAAACACATGGTAATCTTTACAGGCCTATGTATGAGCTCACATCATGAAGTATAAATCTGTCCAAAAATCGTTGCAAGATTCTTCATTTTCGTTCACAACCCTAAATCCATTTCGTCCTGATTTTGAAATTTTCACGGGAATCAAAATCAAAGAAAGTTGAATTCTGGAAATGTCACCTTCTTTCGAAACAACCTCGTCGGTTTTCGGACCAAGCGCCGAGTTGGAATCGGAAGAGAAGAAGGCGAACCGGGAGATAGAACGGTCGAGGAGAGGAACAAGACAAGTTTGAGTGTTCGAACGGCGGAGATTAGAGGGTGAGTGAAGGAAACTTCGAGCCAATAAAGAGGGAAATTTCTGGACAATTCGTCTCATGGGATTCGACTTGAAGACTAGGGTTTAGCAGAGGATTGAAGAATTACACTTTAACCGCTCTTTTCTTCGTTTCCAGTTTTCTTAATTGGTTTGACGAAATCGACCCGAGTATAGTAGACCGGTCCATTCTCGTTTTGGTTAAAAGAAAACTGATGAACCAGCCCACCCTGGCCCAGCCCAAACTTTACTCTCTCTTTTTTGTTTGGCCCAATGCTGTTATTAGTCAAAAGAAAGTTTAACATAAAGTGGAAGTCTATTTCCTTTTAAGTATGAATCACATGATTTTTTCTAAAAAAAAACTTTGAAATATATTTGTCGCC